TTTTTTTTTTTTTTTTCCGCAGCGCATTTGCAGTTTTATTAAAGTAAAAAAAATAAAAAAATATATACAAAGTAAAATTTCCTAATAACTACTCTAATATAATTAAACTACAAACTACTCGTCATACTGGTAGTACCCCACGTGTGCACTGTTGAGTGATCGTTTGACTCTGTAGGTAGACTTCGTTTAGTAACGGGTCATCTTAACCATAAAGGCCCTATCTTCAATGTCTGGTAATTGATCATGAGACCCATATTTTTAATTTAACAAACAGCAGTAAATATTCATTTTTTTTATTATTTTCATATCCTGGATACCAAAGAATGGTTCTGAACATTTATTTTGATGATAAAATTTACCTCCAAATTTTATTTTATTTTATTTATACCTACGAACATTAATTAACGTTTGTTTTTACGTTGGATATCAAAGAATAGCTCCAAACTTTTATTTCAAAGGTAACAATCTTTAAAATAATTTTTTTTATATTTTAACTTTAATGAATGTTATTAAATGTTCGTTTTTATGTTTTATAGGTCTAGATGCCAAAGAATGGCTCTGGACTCTAATTTTGAAGATAAATCTTTATCTTTGAATTTTTTTTCATATTTTATTTTAACAAACGTTATTAACGTTCATTTTAGGTTATTTTCAAGTCCCAGATACCAAAGTATAGCTCCAGCTGTTATTTTGAAGGTAAAACTTTACCCTCAAAATTTTTTTATTAATTTTATAATTACAAATGTTAATTAATATTTAAATTCATATTTTTAGGTTCTGGGCACCGAAAAATGGCTCTAGACTCTTGTTTCGAAGGTAAAACTTTTGAATTTTTTTATATTATTATTTAACGAACGTTACTGAATATTCATTTTTATATTTTATAGGTTTGGATGCTGAAGATCAGTTTCAGACTCTTAATTTTGCCAAAGTAAGGCTTCATGTATCAGTTTGATTTTTGGGCTTTAGATTGGTAAGTTTTGAAATAAACACTTCAAATTATTTCTTTTTTTTTAAAATTTATTTTATTATTTATTTCTATAATTTTGTAGGTATCAGGATTAGGGTCTTTGGAATGGTAAGTTTTGAAAAAAACATTTTCTTTCTGAACCTATTTTTTTTTAATTTTTTTTTTTATTTTGTAGGTATCAGTTGGATGGATCTTGGGTGGATTGGTAAGTTTTGAAAGTTTTGTTCACTTTTGAAACTTTATTTTTTTTTAATTTCTTTTCTTCTATTTTGTAGATATCGGTTGAAAGGATTTTTAAATGGATTGGTAAGTTTGAAAGTTTTATTTACTTTTAAAATTTCAATTATTTTTTTGTCTTTTTTAATGAAGCTTTACTAAGATATTTTCTTTTTGTAGGTTTACAGCTTTCTGAGTGTTTCCTAAATAGAACTTCAAAGGTATCCTTTGAAGTTCTTTAATTTCTTTTATTTTTTTAACAAAACGTTACTAACTAACATTTTTTTTTTTTGTAGATTCGTGACTTCTTGGAACTTCAAGATATCTTTAAATATTTTAATTTTAATAAAGTGTTACTAACTAATAAAATTTTCTCTTTTATTGTAGATCTGCAACTTCTTGGATGGGATCTAGATAGAACTTCAAAGGTATTCTTTGAAATTCTTTAAATTTTTATTTTTTTAAATGAAATTTATTTTTTTTAATGAATCATTTGCTAATATTTTTATTTCTCTTATTTTTGTAAATCTATGCAGAATTTTGAAGGTAAAACTTCAAAATTTAATTTTTTTTTATATTTTACATAACGAAACGTTAACTACATTTTATTTATCTTTTTTGTAAAGTTGCGGGCACTTTTGGCTTTTTGATCAACTTCATGATAGAATTTCGAAGGTATTTACTTTCAAAATAATTATTTTTTTATTTTGTTTTTAAAAAATTAAAAAATTAAATGAAACGTCCAATATTTTGATTTTTTATTTTGCAGGTTTTTGGCCTTTTTGATGAAATTTTAAAGGTAAAACTTTGAAATTCTTATTTTTTGTTACTTTAATTTATGAAACATTTATTAACATTTTAGTTATTTTTTTTTTGTATAATTTTAGTTTTTCAGCTACTGGACGAAAGAATTTATGAATTTGTAGTAAAGATGACAGAATTTTGATTTTAGTGCAAATAATTAATAAATATTTTTTTTTTTCTTTGATTACTTTCAATATATAATAGATTTCATGTAATTTTTTTATTATTATTAAATATGGTTTAATAAAAAAATTTCAGTTTATAATGAATTAATTAATGCAGTATTCAATAATAAATTTTTTTAATATTCTGAAGATTTTTAAAGATTTATTTTTAAAATTCTACGCAGATTTTTTAACACTCGCAGATCTGCATAGATTTTATTAAAAATTTTTCTCTGATGTGTATTGATAGGATAGCAGATCTGCGCAGAAATTTAGCCTAGAAATTTTTGCCAATTTTTATCCTAAAAAATTTACTGATAATTTTACATAATAAAATAGATAATGCAAATATAATTTGAACCTCTTTATATTTTAACTAATTACTCTTTCTTATTTCTTCTTTGTAAGTTTTTTATTTTATTATTAATAATAATATAAAGACAAGAAAATTGCTCTCTATTAGTTAAATTTAATTTTTTAGCAATAGAGTACTTATTAAACTAACAATTTAATACATTAATACATAAAGTAATGGAGAATTAAAAAAGGATCCTGAACAATACTGATACAACTCACATTTGATAGACTAACAGTAATTTTTATTAATTATTTATAACTTCGTAAACTCAAAATACAATGAAAAAGAAAGTAAAATAAATAAAACTAAATAAAAAGAAAATAGTCGCACAAATTTGTACATATAGAGAAGTAACCTAAACTATAAATCCCAAACTTGTATATCCCAACTTTAAACCTAAAAAGCAAAGTTTCAGATCAACTACCCAAATCCAGAAAATGTTATCCAATCTTACAATCCGCTAAGATATTATTCCAGATGAGGACTGTTCGACTCTTCAGAAAACCCAACCGGTGATGAAACAACTCACATTTGAGTTTGCATAGAGTTTATATTAAAATTTTTCGAAATTTACGTATTACAAGATATTTTAAAATTTTGTTATTTTACATACCCCTATTTTTAACACAACTAGTTATTCGATTTTAATAAAATTTATATCATTAGATTTATCTTGATGAGAGAATTCTAATGATAGTAAAATCGAATTTCTAGCTTCAATATTAACAGAGTTATATTATAAAATGTATTTTTGCTTCAGTATTTAAAGTTTACTTGTGAGTTATATTAGTATTATTTGGGGTCCTATTAAAAATATTCTTTGCCAGTTGTTATTTTTATAATTAAAATAAAGTTAGATATTTTACTTTTAATCTGTTTTAAACTACTAATAGTTTTTAATTTATTATTTCTACTTGCAAACAAAAATCTTCAAAATGGAATATCCAGTTTTTTTGTAGATTTGTGAGTATTTTTAATATAAGCATTTTGCTTTACTTTTGAAATTTCTTTCTAAATAGGTAGTGTAGTACATAATTTTCTAAAAATAAAATGGAATACAGTCAGAACTCAATATACCGATATTTGATATATCGATACATTATTAAAACTTGATATACTAATAAAATTTTACATTTCCACTATATGTGAGGATATATAAATATCGGTATAATTTGATATAATGATATTTTTTAAATTTTTTCTTATAAGTCCTAATATATCGTTATATAAAGGTTTGACTGTATACTGTAAACTTTAAGCATTATAAATAAATAATATTTAAATATTTAATATATTTATTTGTCTTATTTAATGTAGATTTATTTTTATTAAGTTGCTTTTTGACTTTCATTACAAAATTTGTAGGAAAAATAATAGGAAGAAAGAATAAGTAATAAATTATACTTTATTAGATGGATATAAAATTTATCTGATAGAAAATGATTACATTGTTTGTATTTATTATAGGTAAATGATTGGCTGAATAAACCACTTCATAGCTTATTTTCAGCCAATCATTTACCTGTAATAAGTAAAATATTATTTATCAGATAATTATAAAATATTATGTTTAAAATAAATTTATAGATAAAATAAAAAAGAAAAATTTATGATTTCTAATAGTTTATAATAAATATATAAAATATTCTTATGTTGATTTTTTTTATTTTAAAATAATCTGAGTTAATTTTTAAAAGTTCTGTACTTATATATTTCATGTTATAAAGTTAATAAGGAATTCATAAAACTTAATGATTATGTATTATATGGATAAAGGAAACAATAAAATAGAGTTTTTTTATGAGAAACTCATTTAACCAATTTAAACTATTAATATCCAATCCTTTTATCTTTTTTTTTTTTTTGGTTTTGTTAAACATAATTTTGCCAAAATTTAAGTTTTTGATACTTTAATTCCAGTGGAATTAATGATATGTTTTTACCCCTCTTTCATATAAGTATAAAATTCTAAAAAAAAATTAATAGTATATATAACACATTTAATTCTAAAGATTATGATTACTGCATATCTAGTATTATCACTGCATATCTAATATTCATATAACCAAGGGATAGTGGCTCAAAATGTAGGTATAAAGTTCTCATTTTCTTATAACGAACTAATGATAAATTTGACTTCTTGATTCAAATCGTCGGCAAGATTTTTTTTCTTGTGATGTTCTTTTTATTTTACATGTTTTCATATTAAAAAGCAAAAAAATTTGCTATCAATATTATGAGATATAATAGTCGCGGTTATCATGTTAAACTAAAATGCTAAAGAATTACTATATACTTTTAATATATCAGTAAGATGTAATCTATTACTGTATACTTTTGGTTTGCCAAAAAGAAAAAAAAATTATAAAGAAATGTATTAATTAGCGATCCCGTTTACGTCATGCATTTCTACATCATCAGCGACATTCTCTTCTAACTCATCTCCTATAGTACTAACATCATCATCTTCACCTTGATGATTAGTTGATTGTACATTGTTATTATAAAATCCGTTGCCGTTTTGTGTGTTTATTTCGCCTTGCTCTTCATCTTGTAATAATCCATCATGTGAATTTGTGCCGTTTTCATAATATGATCTTTCATGCTGTGAATATGCACCATCTTCACTTCGTGATCCATTATGCTGTGAATATATACCATCTTCATATTGTGATCCATCGTGCTGTGTAAGTGCGCCATCTTCATTTTGTGATTCATAGCGCTGCGACTCTACGCCATCATCCTCATACTGTGATTCAGGATATTCCTCTCCTTCCTCTGACGGCACTGTATGTTGCGAATCTGTGAACTGTGACCCATCTGAAAACTCCATATCTTCGTCGTCTTCTTCATATCCACCGTATTGTGAATCTTTATCACCATATTGTCCATCCTGTAAATATTCCCCCTCTTCATTTGATACTGAATTAAAGTAATGCGCTGCCCCCTCACATTCTACCTCAATTACAGTATCATCTCCATTTTCTAATTCAATTTCGTCCTCATCATTGTCTATGGTATGACTTGATGGTGATGGGTTTTCTATCGGAGGTTCGCAGATTTGATCGATATTGATAAGTTCATATTCATGAAATAATGGATTGGTAATTGGAGTTGTTGATCCTGACATAAGAGCTTTGTTAGTTTCACACGAGTTCATGACAATCGTTGCATTTGCAAGAGGATTTATTTTTGTCTCTTCAGAACTCGTGTTCTACGTAAAAAAATGAGATAATTAACAATTTTAAAAAAACAGATGCACTTAATATAAAACAAAACTGGATATTATAGTACTTGCTTTTTTCCTTACTAATTTAGGGCATGTTGTCGTGTACATATCAAAAATGTCATCGACGCATTCTGGAGACAAATATTGAGCAATCAAATAAAATTATTAATATTAGAATTAAACGTCAATTAATTTGACTACTTAATAGACAGTCGATTAATTACTTGTTGTCTCGTAAATATTGCTTTGCATGACATTCCACCATACTGTTCCTTTCGTTGCGTCATCGTTCAACGATACATCTCCCACTTTGGACGCGATAAATACAGCTGCGCTGGCTATTGTTGTTGGTTGATAAAACAAACAAATCGGTGTTCGATGGCTATATATAAAAATTATAACTTAGTATGTACGTAATTTTTAATAATAAGGTACAAAATAATTTTTTACCTGTGATTTATAATTGCCCATGCTGCAGAAGCCAGATCCCTTAAAACTTCTTTACTATACCCTAAAGGAAATAACAACTTGTTAGTAAATAGATTACGAAAATTATTAATCAATTTATAAAACTCAACTCTTACCCTTTAATTCTTTTGTATATTTTAATAAGGGTAAGTACGGATGATCGACTTGTAAATCGAAGCAAAGTATTGCTGCAATTAATGGTTCCAGATGTTTTAAAGTGTCAATCCACATTTCAATTTCCTATAATAAAATTATACATTAGTTTCATTAATACAAATTAAAAATAAATTAATTTTTCATGATCTTTTTCTTAAATATTATCAAAACGTGCTTATGCGATTTCCTCCAGATATAAAATATATTTAAAGGAAATATATTACTGACTTTTTTATCGTCCAGGCTTTTATCTCTGCGCGCTATACGAGCGCATGCAGATGAAACGTCGCCAAGGGTTCGCCTAGGTTTAGGCTCTTCCACTTTTACAGCTAGAAGCACGCAAGCACCCCCAACATCCTATTTGAGACAAAAATTAGTATAAATCAATAAATATGTATTTTTAATACATCATAATGATATATACTCTGATAATTCTAATAATAATGCGAATAGATTATCTTACGTAGGGGTGGAACTCTCTAAAACTTTTGCGCATAAAAAATCTGTGAAAATATACTGAGGCCGTTGCGATTACGATCTGGGGACTGAAATTAATAATTCAAATAAAGTTAAGAATATATAATAATAGAAAATGTTATTTTATTCGCGTAGTTGAGAACTATCTCATGATAATTTAGGATACAGTTTTATGCTGACGCAAACTTGTACAATATATTTGATCCCTTTGCTTCGTAATTTTTTTTCGTCCACAACGGATATACCGTCGTAGCGTGATGGTGAATGTGATAAGAAGTCTGTTTTATTAAAATACCAATTTGCTTGGCAAAATTCCATAAGTACGGGATTTTGATTGTAAAAAAAAAATAAAATAAAATAAAATAAAATAAAAAGAAATTGTAAATAAAGTTAGGATAAACCAAATAAATTTATTTAGATCTGGGCTTTTTTTTTCAAAAAAAAAAAAGGCAGCGAAAAATCGCGAACAAAAAATACATATATAGAAAGTGAAAGTGTGATATTTTGTCACGATCTTCGAGAAATGCAAACAGTAAAGTCCACTTAGACTAGAAGAGTAAAGTGAATTTAAATATGCTACAAAATGAATGGAATATTTTTTGATCAAATTGAATTCTTACATGTAATCTTTTTGCGCACATTTTTTTATCGATCGGGATTTTTTTTTGCTGCGCATATTACGTAAATTTCACGTGATAATTGCCAAAGAGCATCCAGGATGTAGACCTTTAACTTAAACTGGGATGTACGATAAAATTTGGGTATATGATAAAATTTGGTATATATATATAAGATTGATTAGATTCATATGCTAGTTCAAAAATATGGTCTATTTATCTTTTTTTTTAAAAAAAAAAAAAATAAAAAAAATAATAAATAATATATTTACAACAAATTTTATAAATGAAATAAAAATTGCAAGAATTATGAAAGTTATTTTAGATAAATATTTCTTTGCTCTTTTTCTTAAAAACACTAAAGTACAAGAATTTTTTATATAAGATAAATATTTCTTCGCGTAAGATAAAGGTTATAGGTTAAGGACGCTCCACCAAACAATTACTGGCACGTGATCAAAATTTTGCCGATCATAACTAAAATTGACTAGAGCAATTTATCGAAATTTTGGTGAAACTTTAAATACAATAATTTTTAATTCGTTTGATTATAGTTAAGAGAGGTTATGAATGTCATTTTTAACTTTTATATTGAATTTTGTAAAAGTTGACTTTATTAAGAAATTGATATTCAAAATCTCCATTTTTTCTCTAAATAAACTTGCAAAAAAGCAAAAATGCGTATAGGATTTGATTTTAAAAACTGCATAGTGCTTTTTACTATGAAAAAACATGAACACGGTAAATTTTATCATCTATTTTGGAAATGATCTGCAAACTTTGATCACGTGATAGAAATTTGGTGGTAATCATGTGATCATGAGACTAAAAATCACTGATGAGAAAAAAAAAGTCCAAAAAATTTTTTTTTTTTATAAAAGAAAGGTATGCAGATTTTCGTGAAAACTTTGACGGGTAAGACTATCACCCTTGAGGTTGAGTCATCCGACACTATTGATGCTGTCAAGACCAAGATACAAGATAAAGAGGGTAATGAATTTAATTTTTACGTTTTATAGTTTTAAACCATGAAATAACATTTTTGTAATTTCATTAAATTCTAAAGGAATCCCTCCTGATCAACAGCGTTTGATCTTTGCCGGAAAGCAGGTGAAATCTTTTTCTTTCAAATTAATCTTATTAAATGATCCAATTCATTCTTATTGCATTCTCATTGCTCAAAAACTTACTGATCATATGACTATTAACTAACCTATCTAAAAATAATAGCTCGAGGATAATCGTACTCTTTCTGATTATAATATCCAAAAAGAATCAACCTTACATTTAGTTCTTCGTTTGAGAGGTGGTGGTAAGAAACGTAAGAAGAAAACCTACACCACGCCAAAAAAGATCAAGCACAAGAGAAAGAAAGTCAAATTAGCAGTACTCAAATATTACAAGGTTGACGATAATGGCAAGATTTCGCGACTTCGCAGGTCAGAACTAATAAAGATTAATCTTTAAATTTTGCCTGATATGTTTGCCAGTGAACTGAAAATTTTCGCGCGATTTATTATGATCATCTTTTAGAGAATGCCCAACTGCCACATGCGGTGCTGGCATTTTTATGGCATGGCATTATGACCGTCAATATTGTGGAAAGGTAAAAGTTTATTTACGTATTACTAGATAAAATCTATTTAAATATAATAATAAGTTTATTTTTAATTCTTGATAGTGTGGCTTAACTTATGTATTTAAGAAAGAAGAAACTGAATCTTAAATCTTGAATAAAAAGTATATAAGAGAAGCAGTGATAAAAAATTATCATTTTTTTTTTTTTAATTCATTGTGACGATGATCTAAAATAATAAAATTATACGCTAAGTTATCAATACATACTGGTTACAGCAAGTAATAATTAGTAAATCTTGATATTTAACTATATTCTTTATCCTTTATTCTTCCAAATATGTATTAATGTCATAGTAATAATAATAATTCATACATTATTCTCTCTATTTTATTATATATATCTACAAACTATGTAAAACGATACATTGACGAGAGAATAAATGTATTTATATATATATACACTATTGTTAATATTCACTTTTAGATTTGTTTTAAGATTCACGTATTTTATCCACATATTCGGCAATATTATCGAATGTTAATTTGACCAATTGACGACGAGATAATGATTTCTTGGTGAACCTATTAAATGACAAATTAATAAACTTATATCAGGTAAAAGCAATAAAAAAAAAACTTACGGGCATGTATCTTTTGACTCGGGTGATCTTAGAATTCTAGTCCATGTCTGATAGTCACACACATACCTGTTCGAAAAATTAAAATTTTTGTTAATTAATACCCGTTAACATGTTAATTGGGTAATAAATAACACTTACCCATCAGGAGAAATAGCCGGTTCGTTCATTGGTTCCAAAGTAATTGCATCTTTCATATCCGGTAACGGATTCCATGGATTAGGACCGCCAATGGGTTTTTTAATCCAGGAATCAACCTGATTTTGTCCTGAAAATTTCCTCGCACGTTTCATTTGGCCATTAGAAGCTAGGGACTTAACAAGCTTATCGTAATTTACACGCAATGGTTGCACCGGACAACCATCAAATTCGGAAATTTGACCAATCATAACTAATCTATTGTATTCAAATTGACATTGAAATCCTGTTCTATTTGGAATATTACGTGAGACTAGCCCAAATGGAAAATTTTTAGCTTCTTCCATATTATCACCAGCAGAAATACTATCACAACGTCGGCTAATCTCTGATAATAATAGTTGCCTTTCTTCATCTTTCCAGTCTTTATCTGCACAAAATGATTCCCCGTCTCCAACAAATCGATAATAGTATTCATTTATGTCACTTTCTTGAACCATCTTTGTTAATAATCGCTGTAAAGTAGGATCAGAGAATCCAAAGTACAATGGCCCTGAAATACGCGTCGCTTTTAAATAAAATTTTTGCATTAGCCTTAAATGTTAATTACGTCACGTGCTTCAAAGAAAATATTTAATGACGTACTTCTTGAACCTTTGTAAGAAATACAAATCGTTGTCCATGGTTTTGTGGGAGTATTTCCTACAAAAGTAGCATTAGTTGTTTGGTCTGTTACAATGAAACGTGGATTCCCGGTTTCTGGATCTTCATCAATTGACATAATGAAGGACCTATTTTTTTCAACACGCATGGCTTTATAATTAATTGGAATTGGGTGATGATATAACGATCCTGGATTTGACCACCAAGCAGCCGTCGACTTGTGATAACTACCAAGACTGATAATAGTAGTTGGTGTAGATGGAAGACGATAGGGGAAAGTGATGCTTTCGAGCGGATCTACAGGATCCAAATTTTCATCTTCGGAGCCGCTTTCAATACATTCCGCAGTATCTCGAGATGCTGGTTTTAACATATTACGAAATTTTTGTGCACCCTTTCCTGAAAGTCTATTAAGTACATCTTGTTCATTATCGTTACAAATAGATAGAGCCAATCGTGCTTCATCTTCTGTCAAATCCGAAGCGAATAAAATTGTTTTGACCTTAAAACGATCATTATTAATATGTATAAATACATATTTACTTGTATTATATTAAATGATTATATAATACGCGTTTTTGTTACTTATACCTTTTGACAAACGTCTTTTTCCACAAATGCGTTATACTTTGATCTAACTTCGAGAACACGCTTTAAAATAAGTTGTTTTTGCTCTTCGGTAACGTCAGGCCCATCAAGAAACTGTGGTAAAATAACACTCTCTTGCTGTTGCTGCTGTTGCTGCTGCTGTGGGGCTGAACTTGATGGCGCAGAAGATATTTGATTACGACGTGCTTTAGTTGTACGCAATACACGTTTTATTTTCATATTTTAAATACTAAAAATTAGGTAAACCTTGATAGTTTTATATAGTTGGTTTTCGTTGGTTCGTGTGATATGAGAGAGAGGATTTTGCGATTTTTCTCTCACGTATTGTAGTACTGATAGCCAAAGTGATTTATTGCTTAATTTAGTAATTTAGAAGATTAATACTTTACATGGTAATCTTGCAGCTTTAATTAAAACTCCTATTGGCCTATAACCCAGATTATCAAAGTATGTCGGAATTTCTTTTTCTATTTTTTATCTATAAATACTATAATATAATATATCATGACTCAGAATTAAATGTTATTAAGTGTTACTTTTAATTATTATTCATTATTTAATAATGTTAATAAACATTTTGTAAATATATGACGCGTCTTTGGAGTAACAAAAATAGTCATTATAGACTTCAAAATTTCTTTATTACTAAGCCCGTGTAAAACTAATGATATAATTAATTTACAACACATCATTTGGCGAGTTGCTATTTGATTCATCATTTTCATTATTCTCGTTATTTGACTCATTATAATTGTCTAAAACTATATCATTTAACCCGAGAAATTCGTTTTGTTCCCAGGTTCTTTCATAATGTTCAATGGTCATATTAGGGTCAGGATCTATTAAAATTAATTAATCAATTATTCAAAGAGCATCAAAAAAAAAGAAGAATTTCAGACTAACTTAATTCTTACCTGGAGCATAAGGATTCTGTAAATAACTATTATCAAGAGGATCATCAAGTATTAAAGTAACGGGTAATACCTCACCACTAATAACACTATTTAATTTATCCATAAATTTTTGAAAAACAACTTTTCTCTCATTATTCACACTATCTCCATTAATGAAAGGAACTTTTTCTTCTAATTCATCATGAATTTGTTTTAATAAGCCTTCAACGGTCGTAAAACGACCTCCAAGTGTACCAGATGTTAACTCTAATTCTGCTTCAGGTATACTTAGACCACATGTTTCACTTTTTAAGATATCTCTTGACATATCATCCAAATCTTCAATTTTTAATGTAATTTTCTTGCCAAGCGGGGATATACATCCGCCTGATTTAACCTCATTAGATTTATACCCGCAAACCTATAAATGAATTTAAAAAAATATGTACTTAGTTAATATTGGGTTAATAAGTGAATACAGAGAAATTTACTTACATCACAAGTTGTTGCCATTATAATAACTTCTTTGAAATGAGGAATGTTTAATACATGCATTTTAGTTTCACTTGGTGCGTTACAATGAGAACAATTTTCCGGAAATATCATGACTTCTGGAACATCATTGTCACCATCATCAGTAGTTTGTGTACTGTCTTGTTGGTCATCAGGAACGGTTAAACCTAACGAAATATCCATATCACGTGTTCTAAAGTAATGTCTAACGTGAAGTTTCGGATCTGAAGTTGTGACACACAAACTTTCAATATAACTAATAAAAAAAAAAGTTTTTGTCATCATTCTTATAGCTAATGACCAAATACTTAACCCATGTTTCTTATAATCATACCTATTGCCAGCAGGATCATCAACTATAATAGTAAAGGGTTCTTTGTTCTCCAAATAACTTTTCAACTTTTGTATTATAACTTCAATTTTTTCATAATTTATTTCATCCATTTCTTTTCTAACAGGTTGATCCGCTGATAAATCTTCAACTATACTTGAAATTATTCCTTCTACAGTCGTAAGATGACCTCTTTTTGTTGTAGCAGGAATTTCCAAATCAATTTCTTTGATTTTTATTGAAGCAGTTTCGGATTTTACTAATTGACGATCTAAATCTTGTTTATCATCAATCGTACATGTGTATACACTTCCCTTTTCTGATATTACGCCAGCGAATTGAACTTCATTATTATTAAACCCACAATGCTAATTAAAAAGAATGAAATTAGTAAAAAAATTGAGTTATTTTGAATATAATAAAGTTTGTTAATTACCTTACAATCAAAGCTCATAATAACAATATCTCTCCAATGTGGGATTTTTGTTAATAACAATTTTGTAATTCCCTATTGACATACCAAATTTAATTCCCAAAAATCAAGAAAAAAAACAAAATCGTGTATCAAATTTAAATTTTTTATTGATTAAAGTACATTTTCACCACAATTAACACAATAACTTTCAATTTCGGTTGGTTTAACGTCATCATTATCAACTATTTGCCCTATATTTTGAAATAAATTTTCTTGGTTTGTCTCTTGATTATTAATGTTAACATTGTCATCACTCGAATTCTCTTGACTCGACATATTGTAACAAAGAATACCTAAAAAAACAAAACTTATTTTGAGATTTATTTTTAAAAATACGTTTCACGTGAAATGATCGTAAACACACAATTTAAATCGGGTAATTATTCTCAGGGGTAAAATTGGATTGCATACTATTAACAGTTAAGCATATTTTTTTTTTTTTTTAAATAATATTAATATTAGTTATATGTTTATATAAAATAGTAGTATATTACTTTTTTTTTTATAATTAAAATAATATATTACTAATATTATTTATTAGTTAAGTACATTTATTATTTGTTATTTGTTATAAAAAAAAATGGTAGATTTTGATGCATTTCTAAGATAATTTTATTATGGAAATTCTTTTTATATCAATACTTATGATTCGGTAATATTTTAGAAGATTATAGTTAGTTAATAAAATTAGTATTACATGTATACGTACATCGGTCGTTATTTCTAGAAGGATAGAGAAGCATGATGTAAAAAACTTTATATGTATATGATTGACATTATTTTTTCTTTTGACATTATTTATTGTTTTTCAAGTATACATCATCAAGCATTAATGTATACAGTACATTTAATTGTTTTTTTAATTGATAAATTAAATTATTATTATTTCATGATGAAATTTGTCCATCAATAATTATCTGTATTCGTTGTTTTATATGTTCGATATTTTTGACGACTTTATATAAAAGATATACAATATATAGAACATCCAAAAAATCGAAATTTTTTCATGTGCATCCGCACATTCCGACATATGGGGCTGAAAATATTTCCGTTCCCGTTCCAAATCGTACTCATTATATTCATTATGTAATTATGTAAATCACATTGTGATTAAATAGATTAAAAATAAAAAACAGATCGATGTAAAAGTACAATAATTACGATTTACACTATCTTTATTCTTTTACTAATAAAAATAAAATAAATAAACCATGATTTTTTTTTTATATAAAATAAAATTATAATTATAATATTATAAAAGTTTTAATAATAAAGAAACTAATTATACTAAAATATCGAAATAAAAAATAAGGCTCTGGATAGCAAAAAAAGCATTTGCATCTGAAAATTTTCCTTTCGGAAAAATAAATAAATAATAATCTAACCATTTTTCAATACATTTGCTAACCCAAATTTTGAATTCATTATAAAGTAACACAACCAATCAATAAAGTTATGATGAATTCACGCATCATGGTGTGGGAATTGTTTAATTGAAAAAAATACGCGTTTTATAATATAATATGACTTTTTAAAAAAATTGTTCTATACTAAGTAAAAAAGAGGTGAGATTCTCATTAATGACATCAATGTTTTTTATAACTTTTTAAAAAAATATTAAATGATTGGTGAAAAATAATTGAATCATTGAAATAAGAGAACATGACGTCATATTAAAAAGATATAAATTTTTTTTTTTTTTATTCGTGTGAACTCGGAAAAATTATTTTATCAATCATATAAAAATTATGACAGATCAAAAAAATACTTTTCTATATTTTTTAAGATGCGATTTATTCCTTTTTCTTTTTTAAATCTCCTTATAAAGCTTTGACATTTATGATTTTCTTTTCCATTTTTTTCTTATATCGATTCTTTTTTCTTTCTTTTTTTAATAAGAAAACGAGTCCCAATAACGCGTAACATACAAGATTTTTTGTTTCCTCCCTTCCCTTAAGTTATAAAAAAAAAAAATTTAAAGTTTTCTTTCTTACCAAAATCTATCAATACAAGTTTGTTACGAGTAAAGTTTTCGCCTTCTTACTTCCCTCCCTTAACTAAAATATGCCATCAGAAAGATCGTCGTTTGATAATTCTAATAATAATAATAATAACAATAATAATCGAAATAATTATGAAGAACAATGTTATCAACAAATGGATAATCCTATATCAAATTGTAATAATAATGGTATCAATGGATTATCTTCAACGAAAACTCATCAAGGTAGTGATCCTATGTCACAAATAATACTTCAAGATCGTCGTCATAGAAATCTATTGGCAAGTAAAAAATATCGAGCAAAGAAGCAAAAGTTAGATCGAGAAAAGAATGAAATGATTCAATCTTTATCAGATGAGAATCAATCATTGAAACGAAAGGTGCAAGAATTAGAATTTGAAAATAAAAGTTTAAAAGAGATTATGAGTAGGTTAACAACTTCTTCGGCTGCTTCGATATTGGATAGAGAAAGATTATGTAGAAAAGGTGATAATCAATGTAATCAATGATACATATTACATATATATATATATATATATTTTTTTAAGTAATTATTATAATTATGTTTCAAACTTTAATATTATGTGCATTTATATATGCGTATGATCACAATACGTTACGCGTTATTTTATTACTTTAGTTTTAATATTTAGTTAATTTTTTTATTTGTCAATCTTAATTCTTTTTATATTTGCTTATATGCTATGTGTGTGTATATACATCTCAAACATTTTACGAAATAAAATGTTTCATCTTTAAGTATCGTATCGTCCAAAAAGCATACTTTAACACGGATGCTGTAATTTGCTATAATTGGGAATTGATAACAGATCGTTTTAGTGTGTAAACCCTGATAATTTGGCGTAATCTAATTGGTAAATTTTTTATTATAAAAATTTCTCCCCCTTTTTTTTACTTCGATCTTTTTTTTTTTTCCTAATTCAAAAGTATAAACCCAAGTTCCGTTTTATAGGTAAAGCAATTTAATTTTTAGCTTGTAATCGTCTTCAATTATTTTGTTACAATGACGAATAAATTGTTGGCACCAGTCTGAAAATGACTTGATGGATAAAAACCCAGAATGTTCTCTATAATAATATACGCATTTGGAACATTCCCGAGTTAACAAAAGAAAAAACAAGGCGATATATCAATTTTAAGAGTAATTTGCAAATATATTAATGCACAATTCTTTAATTATAATTCCATTATTAGTTAATTAATTATCATATTTGAAACAATGAGCGATTCAGATCCAATAATAAAGTTATCGGAATCCAATATACTCGCTATATTTTTAGTCTTTATTGTGTTATTTCGACTTATCGGCATATATTTTCAAAACCGTTCTTTATCAATTGGATTGAACATCTCAAAAAATGTTACACTTATTGTATTGGGTGACATTGGACGTTCCCCAAGAATGCGGTATCACGCTTTGAGTTTTGCTCAAAATGGTTGGACGGTTGATTTCATAGGTTATGATGGTAATATCTTTTTTATTTTAATTTAGCTAATTAAGAATAGTTCAATTAAATAATCTCCTTTTCCATCTTGATCAGGCACAACACCTTCTCAAATTATTGATAACCCGAAAATTAAAATTCATTATATATCACATCCGTGGCGTCTTCCGGAAAATGTGCCAAAGATGTTATTTCTTTTATTTGCTCCGATAAAAGTTTACTCCCAAATTTTGATTTTATATTGGACTCTTCTCTTTAGAATAAATCGACCTGATTTCGTTCTTGTTCAGGTGCTTTTTGATACTTTAAATCTTTTTTTTTTTTTAGTATTCTCCTGACTTTAATTTTTAAATAGAATCCTCCAGCGATACCTACATTGATGATCGTACAATTCGTATGTTGGTTACGTTCAACAAATTTAATTATAGATTGGCACAATTTTGGATATACTATTCTAGGTTTAAGATTAGGTCACGATAGTCGTATTGTAAAAATTGCAAAGTGGTATGAAAAGCTTTATGGAGGTCGAGCTCATGCTCACTTAACTGTCAGTTCTGCTATGCATCGTGAGTTGATGTATAAATGGGATGTCAAGTAAGTAAATTTTATCAAACATTTATCTGTATTAGCAATATTTTAATTAATTATTTTATATTTAGAGGTAAAATCGTTACTTTATATGATAAACCTCCGGCTCATTTTAGAAGATTAACTATTGATGAAATACATGAGGTAATATTATTATTAATCGAAAGAAAATTAAATAAATACATTAAAAAAAAATGTTTATTTTCATTTATTCTATTTTAGTTTTTATTAAGAATTAATTTAGAAGAAATAATATTAAAACAATCAATTGGTTCTGAATTTTTACCACCATCATCTACTAATTCAACTTTATTAACAACAAAATCTTTGGCCGATAATACTGTAAAATATCGACATGATCGACCAATATTAATCATCAGCAGTACAAGTTGGACTGCCGATGAAGATTTTTCAATATTACTTAAAGCAGCACAAAGGTGTGATGAAGTAGAGGATGAAACTTTTCCAAAATTACTTTTTGTAATTACAGGAAAGGGTCCTTTAAAAGAAAAGTATGAAAAGGAAATTAGTAAAATGTCGATGCGACGTGTGAGAATTATTACGATGTGGCTATCAGCAGAGGATTACCCGTTATTATTAGGTATTATACTAAATTAGAAAGTATGTAGTATGTTATATAGTGGTAATGATGAAGAAACTAATATAGTGATTATTAGGTTCGGCTGATTTAGGAGTTTGTCTTCACACATCTTCATCGGGCATGGATCTTCCCATGAAGGTTGTTGACATGTTTGGATGTGGATTACCCGTATGTGCAGTTGGATTTGATTGGTGAGTTAAAATCATACATCTTAAAATTTTCTTTCAAGTTAATCTAAAATAAATTTTGTGTTTTCTATCAACTTAGTCTTAACGAGCTGGTTCGACATAATAAGAATGGATTGATATTTAACAATGAAGAACAGCTTGCTGAACAATTAATTGTAAGTTTTCTTAATTAAATGTTATCTTTTGTGTAGTTTTAAAAATGTTTATTTATTTATTTATTTATTTCGTCGGTCCATATAAAGGATTTGTTTACTAATTATCCAGCAAATGCATCAAAACTTGAAAGTATGAGAGAAAATGTGTCTGAATTTCAAAAAGATCGATGGGACACAAATTGGGATCGAAAAATTTTGCCTTTATTAGAATCCTAAAAAAAAAAAAAAAAATATTTTACACTGTAAATTTAATAAATTTTTAATTTAACGGTTATATGTACTATATTATTTGGGGTATATAAACCTTTATTATTTAAGACTTTAAAAACCTTTATATTAAATTTAGATGCGTGATTATCTAGACGCGAAAATAAATAGCCAATCGTTGAATTGATCTACCATGTTACGCAAATATCGATGATAACTGAATAACGTGAATTGTGATAATCAATTGAATCGCAATTATGAATTCTCAGAAAAAACTCAACTCAGCACCTAAATTTTCATGGCCGCAATTGCGTTCTACGGACGCAAGTCTTGAAGTAGGAAGTTTAGGTGGCTGTTCTTATATAAGAAGTACACCACAAAGTATTTATTGGAGTTATATGAATGAGGCCCAAACTTGTAATAATAATTTCAAAATTTTAAAATAACCTAAGTCATAAATATAAAACTTATTTTTCTTCTTTGGTTTAGACCACGAGGGTTTTGATATAGAACAAATTACAAATGTCACCCAATTATTTCCTCATACACGTCGTCACTATCCTATTCCACAATATAGTTATTCCGTCGCAAAAGCTTATTATGCACAATCTGTAAGTAAAATTTGAATAAATACTCTATGCAACGCAGCTTATCTGACTATTTTATGGTAGGCTCAATTTTTATCAGACTCGTATCCGGAATTCGATATCTTTCCAGAATATATCGTTGATACTCTCTTCGAAGAATCATACAATGAAAGTAAAAATTTTGATCCTTATATGAGCCATGAACTAATAACCATCGGAAATTATGAATTTAGTCCTGGAATAATTAAAAAATTCATTTCTTTTCCAATTGGAATTTCCGGAACTGAATTGAGTAAAGATTTTTAATGTTTATAAGAAATAATATTTTTATTTATTTGTTTCCATTATTTATTCATGAAAAGATTTTATTCCTTTGTTTAATGAGAATAACTACCAAGATTCAGATTATAATTCAAACCAGCATAAATCAGGTTTAAACACAATGTCAACATTAAATTTTAAGACTCCTATAAGACAAGTGACATCTTCAATATATGAACATACTCCGGACAAAAATCTCGATACTTATAATTATTGTCCTTGTAAGATGATTATTATTATTTAGTATAGTAATATGATTTCAATGAATAACGTGATTTTTTAATATCGATTTCTATAGCTTTAATGGCAGTTCGCACGATCTCTGGAACTACTTTCTTAAAAGTAATAGTTCCTGAACTAGAAGATGCACAAGATTACTTAAAAGCAGTGGTATTGGATAGTGTATTGCATAAAAAAAAGGATATTTTTAATCACATGCACGTTACTTTTAATCCAATGATATATGGCGAGGCTGCTATTGTTGATGGCAATGGTAGTATTCATTTATGGAAGGGAGAAAGACACGAAGATTATTCAAAGTATAGATTTGATTGCATATAAAATAGATATTCTTTTTGTTATTTAATATTTATTTTTCTTGGATAATTGAATCTATAGATTATTCATTAAATACGATTTCAAAACGATAAGAACATCTCAAGTTGAAGTAGATTTATCTCCCAAAGATTTATGGAAGACTTGCGAGTATGGTGCGCATCCTCAAACTCTTCTTGTCGCTTCTCGAATTAGCGCAGATCTTTTTGATTTTAGGGTATTCTTTCTATATTCGAAAATATATATATGTAGTTTATTTGATTATTTACATTAATTTCATTTCATTTAGAGTCGTGACGTTACGTTAATTTATGACACTAATAATGAGGACAAAATATTTTCCTTTCAAAGATCACCTGTATATAATGCATTTGAATTCATTTTAACTACCCAGAATAATGTTATGCTTCTGGATCAGCGATTTCCTAAAAGACCAATGCTTATGTGGCCACATCATCATAGTAGTCCTCCTTGTGGAGTAAATATTACGATGAATGAAAAAAGTGAGTCATAGTTAATCTTGTATGTATTACAAGTATTATTCTTTCTAACTTTTCATATTATTATTATAAGTATCTATTGTTTTAACATGGTCAAAAAGTCCCCCTACTATAACAGCATTCCAATATTTAACTTCTGCATCCGGACCTGTAACATCCACATGTCAGCCTGTGTCAATCCCATCTTTTAATAAGCATCCATCATATTCTCGATCAAAGTATATGAGATCACCTTATACAATACGAGATGAAAATCAACAACAAAAACTACCATCACTTTCGAGCGTGTTATTAAGTAATGATTTTACACCAAAAAAAGCAGATAATAATTTAAACTCCTGCTTTAATATATTTCAACTTTCTCAGACTGGTGCTCTTTATTCGCAAGCTTTTCATGCTAAAGATAAAACTGACATCACTATCCGACCTAGTATACCATCAAATAGATTCAATTTGCAAATTATTGAAATGTCAGATTCAATAGCCTCATTGCATAGTTTAGCAGATATGGATGTTGGTACTATGCCTGAATTACGTGTGAAACAGAGTCAAAATTGGCATTTTGAGAAAATATGGGATTGTAAGTGTTTTCCGCTTTTCATTTTATATATTTAATTATTTAATGTTTGTTTTTTTCTTCGGAATTTAATGAACTTTTTTCTAGACATATCCAAGGACTTTAAATGTATATCTTTAAATAATATTTCACCTTTTGTTCTTAAAACTGGTACATTATTTATTTCGTGGGAAATTGTAGAAAACTTTTTTGAACATTATGGACATGTTGTTGGATTTAATTGTCAAAAAAAGTCTATTGTCAAAGACGTTAATGGAAATATCCAGTCCTTAACTTATGCTTGTATGGAAGGAAAGTTCTTCAACAAAAAAAACAATAAGCATAAAAAAATAGTTCCCTGTGAATGGAAAATTACAATTTCATATATTAAGTCTGATAAATATATTATCGTAACTAAGTTTTTAAATCAACATAATCATGAGCTTTTTTCGTCCTTATATAATTCTGAATGGTGGAGATCACATGTCATTGACAACACAAATATGAAAGCAATATCAAATAACCAAATAATCAATCAAAATAATAATGAGAGAGAAATCTTTATGAATTCTGATTTATTACAAGAAAATCAAGACATTTCCTTTGTGTCGTTTTTGAAAAAGGTTTATAAAGATAATCTTTGGATCTTAGATAACATTGGACATCCTTTGACATTGTATCCTTTATTTAATTTAAATTCATTTAATATTTAAAAATTTTTATTCCTTAAATATAATATAGATATGAAATATTAAAAAATATACCAGGTTCACATATTAATGATCTTGAGGTCCCACGTGTACAACAATTCTCTGAAACTCCCAAGATTAAAAAGGATTTATTGGAATTATCCGTCGAATGGTCTCTTTTTGATGTGAACTTTTTATTTGAACAATTATTGAATAGTGATTTTAATTCGGCTCCAACAACTTCTCAAATTTTTGAATTTTCAAATATTAATATAACCGACAAATGTCCTGCCGATATTGAGAAAGAGCTCAATTGTTACTTACGGAAAGTATATCCATTATCTGCAGATAATAATGAAAGTGGTGAGATAAATAATATACCAAATTTAAATAAGATTAAATATAGTCGTCAGTATGCTATAGAAGTAGTTTCAAAGGATCTTGTTAAGAGTTTACAAACTTTCATTTCAAAATCACGGAATTGTCCTAAATTTTCATTGTCATCAGATATCTTATCAGAACAACAACCAATCAATAATAATTCAACAAATTCTGATTGTTTTACAATTAAATGTAAAAAATCAATCAATAATGCTGATACAGAAAATAATGGATATGTAATGACAACAGCAGCACAAGAACTTTCTGATGATTGGATAATAGGTCAAGATCTCAAAGAATATGATTATAAATTTCTTGATGATTTTGAAAATATTACTAATGAAGCATTAACAAATCCAACATATAAATTAGAAGAAAATCAAATAGAAGTACATAACATTGAAAAAGAAAATCCTAATCCAATTATAGAGAATATCAATAAGGATATTGTTGTAGAGAATATTACTGAGGATAATGTTATTAATCAAAATACAAGTAATATTATAGAAAAACCAAAACCAAAGAAGAAATCACGAAAATCTGGATTTAGATAAAGTATAAATAAATTTATATAATTTTGGATTAAAATAATTCTTGAACTTTTGTAAATATATATATTTTTAATGAAATGTTTGCCATAATATTATAATATTAAGCCAAAAGATTACTTATTTTTATTTTTATTATATCGACAAGCCAAAAGAGGAAATTTGCATAAAAGATCACATGATCATATGCTAAATTTTGAATGATATTATTATACAATATTTTTTTTCGCATCTCTTTCCGGTCTCATAACTTAAGAACCCTTGCCTATAATATTTTTGAGGATGAACACGTTTGAGAAAAAGATCAGAATATGGAAACATCCTTTCAATTCCCACATTAATGAACACAACTGACATAATAATACAATAGGCCAATGAATAATACCACTAATAAAACAACTAAGATTGTTGGAAAAATTATAATCCACTTAATAAGATTCCTAAAAAATATATTATTTTTTTATCCATGTGAAAAAATTCTAATTTTTTAGCCTTTTATAACGATCCCATTAATAAATAATGTATCTATATTATAATTAGCTAAATTGTTTCATAATAACCAGTTTTGTAATATGAACGAAAAACTGGTGCATTAGTGTAGATACAAGAAATCATTCATGACGCAGTGTTTACTTTTTCATTATCATTCTAATGCACTATGCACCCTACACAATATACATACAAACTAATATTTATGTTTGAGGAATTCAGTAACAAAAACGGCTAAGAATCATTTGTGAAAGTTCGTTGATAAACATTCTTTCACTAAGAAAAAAAATCACGTGCGCGTGAATAATTGATCGTATTTTATTTTTGTATCAGAAACACGTATTTTGCAAGAAATTTTTATTTTTCTGAATGAGAATTAAAATAAAACATTTGTGAGGAAATGGGTTTAATTCTCTATGGTATAATTGACCAGTGGAAGTATATGGTTTATTCAATCCATCAATAGATTTTCTAATTAATCAGTAAACTATATAGATTTGCAATAATTGGAACTATGGTTAAAAAATTAATAACTCCTGTGAGCAATAGCACTTTTCCAATTTACTAAAGTAATATAAACCATTAAAGGCTTATATTCATATTAAATAACTTAAATCTAATTAGCTTAAATTAATAAAATTATGATAGTAATAACCTATTACCAATAATAATTCTAAATGTTTCAAAAGTTGAAAAATATTTAATAATTTGCTTTGATTTACTATATAATTAAAAACATTTGGAGATTTCACTTCTTCAAATATAATTCTATTTTTTTTTTATTTTTTTTTTTATCGAAAAGAATCTGAAAATCCAGTTTTCTTTCATATTTGTAATCATTAGATTTTTGTTATTCCTTTAATAACAATATCTAAAAACAAAAATGTCTTCATTTAGTATTTGATTTTAGAATTTTAAATATATTAAAAGTTGTTTAAAATCTGTTTAAAATCTGTTTAAAATTGATAATTTTGAACAAACTCCTTAATATTTTTTGATAGTAAATTTAAAAAGTTATAAAGCAGATATATTATTAATATAATATAAATACAACAAAAATAGTATGAATTTTTTGAATTTTAAAACCTATAAATTTCTTATTATACTTTTTTTTATTTCTAATTATTAAAGGATTTCATTTGAATCAATTTTGATACTATTTTTTATTTAACTTTTTTTTATTAGTTAAAAATAATAGAAATAAATATTTATAATTTATTATAATATTTCAAAAGAATTAATTCAAAACTTATTATACTATATTCTATGATGATTAAATACTTATTAGTAAAGATACTGGAATTAAAAGTTTAAATAATACAATTTTTTAAATTTAATCAAAATATTTTATATATTTTAATAGCAAAGTTATTTGAATTTTTTACTTTTCTAAGATTATTAATATTATTTGCTGTAATAAAAAAAAATTTTTATAGTTGAAATTTTATTGGTTAATGAATATTAATTATTATGTAAATTTAAATCAATGTAAAAATGTAGTATATAATTGATAATTACTACCTTGTATTGTAATAGTAAGGATTGCAACCTATTACTACTTTTAAAGTTAAAGTGTTGTAATATTACAACACTTATAATTGTTCAAAAATTTCCTTTTTGAAAAATAAAAATTACAAAAATAAGTTTTCATAGAACAAATATCATCATGAAAAAAAATAATTAATATATTATAATACATATTTGTATAATTGGAAATAATTACAACACTATATAATAATTACAATACTAGTAGTAATTATAATACTATATAACAATTATAATATTATATTGTAATTACAACAAAAGTGTTGTATATATATTGTAATAGTTGCAACCTTACAACCTTCTAAAAATAATTATATATTACATTTTTTAATCAATGAGTAAATTTTTAACCATATCTAACAGTAAATAAAAATCATTACAGAGTAGTAAATGATAATTAAATAATCATACAGTGTATTTTGTGTGATGGCTAATAAATTTTTTTATTCAAGCATTTTGTAAACTTTGTGTAGATAACTTTTGAATATTTACTGTATCATCTTATATCATTATATAATTAATTAATCAAAATTGATTTACAATATAATACTTCTAAAAGTTCTTTTTATTTCAATTATCAAATACAATATCTAATAATAATATATCAGCTCTAGGTATATTTTTCAATAATAATCCTAAATAGAATGCATCATCTTGACTTGGAATTATTTAAATATCAGGTGATTTATATAAAGTATGTGAGATAAAATTTTCTAATTATTAAGTTTTTGTAGAAATTATCACCTATCTTAATAGTAAAGAATCATCTTACTGGTCTTTTCTTAATTTTATTTTTTCAAATTTAATGTGATTATTAATTTGCCATCAAATACAAATGATATTAATGGTTTTATTGGTATTTGGTTAAGCTATTTCAGGTTCACAATGAATCATGAAATTCTAAAGATGAGAATATTTCAATTTTGTAAAAAGACATTTAAGACATATTTACTATTCCTTTTATACATAAATTTCTTTTTTATTATATTTTTTTTTTATGAATCTTGAATAAATAGATATATTATTTTACTAATTATGGATTATACTCATAACTCATAAGGATAATTACCAGAATACTATCAGAGTATATAACAATTTTTTAACAAAATAATTTCTACTTGAAGGTAGATTGATGCTAATCATATTAATTTTATCACCTCTTATTATTGACATTAATTATAATTGTAAATATTGCAATAGATTTTACAATAATAAAATATTTCCTAAATTTTCCAACAGATTTAATGGAATGTTTATAATTAGTTAAAGGCCAAGATTATTGCAGACAAAAAAGACATTAACTTTGTGAAAATATCATCTGATTTTTACAGATCTCAAATGATCGCAGAATATTCACAAAATCTAAAATACAAGTTATTCAATAAATATAACAAAAATAGATTACAAGGTGATTAATAATTTGTAATTATTAGAAAATAATATCAAGTATATCATAGATCAAAGATAAAAAGACTTTTATATAAGAAAGAATTAGGATTTTTTTAATGTAAAACTTGTATTGAGAATTTCATCAAATTAGTATTTGAGTCTGTTGGCATGTTGGATATATATGATTTTATAGGTATAAAAATGGATAACTTTGTTTAGCAGAAATTTTTTGAATCCATGTAACACAATTTTTTGTTACTTGTAACACGTGATTTATAATTACTGTATAAGCCGTTTTACCTTTATTAATTAAAATATTTAAACTATCAATGTTTTCTCCTAACTAGCCTTAAAATAAAATAAATAAAATAATAAAATATTTAAACTTGTCGATAACAATGTTATCAAGATAAATTTTCAATTTGTTGTCAATTTTCTCCATGTTTTTAAATGGAAACTTTTTTCTTTTTTTGTTATTTATTCTATTGATTATTGAGGTATGATCTATAAATATTCTCAAAAAAATATTCTCAACTTTATTGGTTAAACACACGTATAATCCCCAAAAAATGTACCCATGACCATGACCCATTCAAAGTTTTTAAAAAAAAAAACGATAATTCCTGTTTTATTAAATTTAATTTTATAGCGCAACTAATTGCTGTACTAATTTCTTCTAATGAGAACAGGATTGTGGCTCATATTAAGTAATTTACTTTATTAAATAATTTCTTTCAATTAGACTTTTTATTTTATAATAAAGTATTTGTGTATATAAATCAAAATAATTTCTTCAATATCTGCCGAATTTATTATTATTTATAAAATTTCAAAATAAAAATCGGGTGACCAACTTCTGATAGACCACCTGTTCTGAAAATATTTGATCATATTTACGTCATAGTAAATCTGTGATTATTTAATAGGATAAACAGATAATCAGTTGATTATAATTAAAAAATCACATGCGCATGCGCATGAAGAATGTCAAAGATTATGTATATGTAAATCACAGCATTTATTTTATTAATGCACAGTTACATTCATTGGAGTTAAAATCAGAATGATGCAAATGAAGCTTCAATTATCGCTAGAAAATTTAAGTCTATCTCACAAGCTGTCCATATTGAGCACATCACCAATTGCAATATCAATGTTATATTCTTCTATGGAAATATATTCAAAAGATAGCGCAATTGAATGATAAGTCGATCTTGAATGGAAAAATAAGCCACTTGTACTCTTTGATCGTCTTCCTTCTTGATAACGTTCACTGAAATTTATAAAAAAAAGTTCGTGTATTTTAATTTAGTTGTAGAAACAGTGAAACAGTTGGTCATCAAGTCACATTACCATAGTATTTAATAATCAAATCTAATATTTGCGACAATTTATTTCATAATATTCTTGAAGTTTCCATACTAGAAATCTATAAATCTTGAATATTTTATGAATTAAATATGAATATTAAACCGAGAATCTCGTCTCTTTCGTTGTTGTCCACAATAATAAGCACAATAAGGATAATTTCACTGTCAAAGAGGGATGTGAATCCTATTGTATAAATATAAGCAAAATTGAAAAAGTTCTTGAGGAATACCATTGATGTTAAATATCATCACTAGTATAATGCATTGCCAGAAATATAGTCTATTTCAGACACTCCTTCTAAATG